ATTCTCCTACCTCAGCCTCGGAGTGCTGGGATTACAGGTGTGCACCACTAGGCTGGGCTTCTGCACAAGTTTACTACGGCCAAATAGCAAGGGGTATTCCAGTGGCTGCAGGAGTTGGGTGGGTGTGGTGGCACTCGCCTGTAATTCCAACACTGGTCCTGGGGGCGGGGGCGGGGGCGGGGGCGGGGATTGCTGTAGGATCCAAGGAGAACAAGATGACACTATTCTGCCTTTGTAGCTCTTCCATTCTGGAGAAGGAGGGAAGATAGACAAACGCCTTTAATAAGGAAATCATGTAGTCTGGTGGGCAGGTGGGAGTGGGCGCAGTTTGCAGAATTAAGAAGGCTGTGCGGGGCAGTCCCATGAAGGCAAGATTGAGTGCAGCCTAGGGGGAGGGAAGAGTGGTCCAGGGAAAGGGAACAGCTACAGCAAAGGCCCTAGAGTGGGGAGCTGGGGATGTGCTTCCAGCAAAGAATGGGAATGGCAGAGCAGAGAGCGCAGGGGGAGGAGTGGCGGTGGGCAGAGCCCTGAAGGCTCCGGTGAGGAGAGGGTTACTGCTGACATGTGAGAAGGAACTTATTAATGATGTTGCCAAATGTCACAGGCACGCCTTTGCCCTTTTTAGCTTTAGGGGCTGGGGATTCAGCTCAGCGGCACACAGCCTGCCTGGCAAGTGCGACGTCGTGAGTTCAATTCCCGGTACTGGAAAAAAACAAACAAACAAAAAAACCCTAAACCTCTTTAGCTTTAGTTTGTTTTTTTTTTTGTTTGTCTTTTGGTGTTTTTTGGTACTAGGAACCGAACTCAGGACTTTGAGCTTGCCACATAGGCGCTTGTGCCACTGAGCTATATCTGCAGCCCAGGCTTTAGTTTGGTGTTATCCTCAGTAGCGTGGGATAATAATGCCCTACAGAAAGTCCAGCGAACCAGGAACCCTGCCTAGGTAAGGCTGTGGGCCTGGCGTGGAGTAACCTAGCAATGTCCTGTGGAGAAGGCTCTGATAGGGGCCGGGGACATAGCTCAACAGCACGGAACACCTGGCAAACAAGGTCCTGAGTTCAATTCCTAGGTCCAAAAAAAATAAAAATAGAAGGCTCTGATGTCCCAACCTCCTTTGTCAGCAGCCTGGGAGGAGGACAGCCCACTGGAGCGTCCAGAAGCATCGCAATCCAAGCTCCGGGGAACTGGATGAAATGCAGGGTGACAGTTCCAACCCCCTCCCCCATTCCCACAGCCTCTTGCACACGTGTCCAAGGAAAAGAGGGAACAAGATTTTCTCTGTGAAGTTCTGCCCAAGGGTGGACAACAGCCTCTCTGGGGTCCCCTGACTCAGATAAATCAACCTGAATTTTGAGGAAACTTTCTCATACAGGAAAGGTGATAGGATGGAAAACACAGACAATCATGGGAACGGCCCACTCAAGTTCCTCCTGCTTTTGACTATTGTGTGTGTCTGTGTGTGTGTACACACACTTGCTACTGGGGCTTAACCCAGGGCCTTCACACAGAGCTACATCCCCATCCCTTTTAAAAATATTTTTTATTTTGCAACAGGGTCTTGTTAAATCACTCAGGCTGGACTCAAACTCATGATCCTCCTGTCTCTGTATCTTGGAGTGCTGGGATTACAAGCATGTGTAACAATGCCCAGGTTGGCACAAAGGTTCTTGACACACCCCCATTATGGTACCCCCCACCACAAAAACCAGAGCTACTGTCAGTTCCTCAGAATCTTCCTGCACAGAGAATAATTTAGATTACTGGGGCACTCAGAGCCCCAGCCCTGTACCCTACCACATACATACAAAACTTTGTAACCTAGAATCTTCCATTCTTTGCTCTTGGTGGTCTTTTTCTGTTTTTTTTTTTCTTTTTTTTGAGACAAGGTCTCACTATGTAGCCTAGGGTGGCCTACAAATTTGTGATCCTCCTGCCTCAGCTTCCTGAATGCTGGGATTCCAAGTGTACACCACCATGCCTGGCTGGTAGTTTAGATCTTATAGAAATGATCACATTATTTTGTCTGGTGATGATCTATTGTCCTCTTTGTCTCTGGGACTCCTGTATAAGTCTCCAATTGGGAACTGATTGACAGGGAAACCAAAAAGTGATTAGAGGGTTGACACTTTCAGCCTCAACCTTACCACCTCTAGGGAGAGAAGATGGGCTGAAGACTGAATTGATCACCCAAGGTCAATGATATAATCAATCATGTGTATGTAAAGAAGCCTCCATAAAAAATAAAAACTGGTAACAATGTTGTGAGGCACACCTGTAATCCCAGACTCTGGGAGGCTGAGGCAGGAGGTTCACTGCAAGTTTGAGGTCAGCCTGGGCTACATAGTAAGATCAAACCCAGTCCGGGTTACATAGTGAGACCCTGTTTCAAAAAACTAATGCAACAACAAAAGGCTGGATTTAGGGAGTTTCCAGTTGGCTGAGCACATGGAGGTCCCTAGAGGGAGGCACTCTGCAGAGGGCATTAAACCTCCACAACCTTCCCATGTGCCTTGCCCTGTGCCTCTGTCCCATCTGTTGCTTGTCCATACCCTTTTAAACATCTTTTATAATACACTGACAAAAGTTTGCTAGAGTTTCAGAGTCACTCCAGCAAATGTGTTGAACCTAAGGAGAGGACCTTGAGAACACTGATTTATAGCCACTCGGTCAAGCACAGTTAAGGGCCTGGTGTGGTGGTGCACATCTGTCATCCCAGCACCCTGGGAGGCTGAGTCGGGAGAATAACAAAAGTTCAAGCTCAGCTTCGGCAACCTATGGAGACCCTGTCTCAAAAAGGGAGGGAGCTGAGGGTTGGAGCTCAGTGTGAAGGTCGTGGTTCAGTCCACAGTGAAGGAGGAGGAGGAGAAGAAGAAAGGAGGTAGAGGGGGAGGGGGAGGGAGAGGGGAAAGGGAAAGCGGGGAGGAGGAGGAGGAGGAGAAGAACAAATGTAACTAGCAGGGCTGGGATTAGATCTGAAGTGGGGGGATGGGTCGACACATGGGACAGATCTGGGACACCGTCTCTTGGTTGGCCAGTGTCCAGTGTCCAGTGTCCGTCGAATTGAGGATTAGGACACCTGTTAGCTTCTGCTGGAGAATCGTTTTGTACATAGGGAAACAAATCCACACACATCTGGGGGCAGAAGTACTGTGCTGACTGGGAAAGTCGAGGAAGAAGGGATTGTTTTTTCTTCAGTTCTCCAGACAACCCTATGAGATAGTAGGTTTTATCACTAGTCTATGTAGACTTACCAACTTGCCCTCTGCAGAAAGGAAGGAGTTAATTTCCTGACCCACTTTTGAGTTTACTTTAGGTTTTTTTTTTTTTTTTTTTCCTTAGTACCAGGAATCGAACTCAAGACGTTGTGCTTGCCAGGCAGGCGCTGTGCCCCTGAGTTAAATCCCCAGCCCCTGGGAGTTTACAGTCACAAAGATGGCGGGTAGCAGAGGGAGCGAGGTTCAGGAATAGCTCGGATCCCGCCTCCAGCGTCCCTAGCCCTCTGACCCTGGACCCCAAGCTCCGCAGAGGGGAACAGAACGCCCACCGCCCCGTCTAGTGGGCGGGGCGAGCGGGCTCTGTGACGCCACGGGCCACGCCCCTTAGCACGCTATTGCGCCTGCGCCAGAAGTGCAGCTCGTTCCCGGAAGTGGAGGGTCTACACAGAACGCCGCTGGGTCTGGGCGCCCAGAGGCTGCAGCACTCACGGAGCTCGCCCCCCCAAGCCCCGACCACCATGTCGGCTTTTGACTCCAACCCCTTCGCGGACCCAGTGGACGTAAACCCTTTCCAGGTAGGACCCCCAACTCACAGATCTTTCTGTGGCTAGGGGCCACCGACCCGGCCTCTTTTCGCCAGAGCTGTGAGACGTGGCGTAGGAGGGACGGGCCTTCTGTCCAATGGGAGAGCGCGCTTTGAGGGCTGGCCTATCCTAGCGGTTGGGGGGCGGGACTAGCAGGTGGCTCTGTAAAGGGGTGGGGCGCTGTGGCTAGAAGCGCTATAGCTGGAAGCGCTGTGATCTCCCAGCGCTTGAGGGGATTGCAGCCCCTCGGCGGTACTGCTGGGGAAGGAGACTGGCGCGGGTACAGTCGGACTTGCGGGGAGCCCCCCTCGCATCGGCGAGAGGGGCGAAATGTGGCTATCACTTTCCTTTAGTCGTGGAAAGACACCTATCTTGACCCACCTCAGGAGAGAGGGGTGACAGCAACGAAATGAGGAAGTAGAAGTTTCTAGTGGCACGAAGAAACGTGGGTGAAGCTGAAGACCCCTGTACAGCAGCAAACAAAGTAGCATATAAAGTGCAGGACAGTCCCAGCAGTTGATCGGGAAAATCAGGCTGGGAGAGGGGAGTCAGGTAGGCCCAGCCCTGTAACCTTGGAGCCCTTTCAGCTGCTTTTAAGTTGGAAAATGGTCTTTATAAAAATCTCACACTTTGGCCTAGAGTTAGGAGAGGCGAGGAGAGGTGGCTCTGGGAGAGTCTTGGCCCCTACCTGTGGTCGCAATGTGGATGCGATGCAGTGATCTGTGAGCTGCCCTGACCTTTGGAACAAACAGTCAAGGAAGAAATAATCTTTCTAAAGCCCAAACTTTCTGCCTTGGAGAAGAGAGCACGGAGCCTGTCTTTTTCTGCGGAGAAGAGCTTGGGCTCCTTTAGCTCCAGGGCGTCTTATCGCTTCTTTCTGCTTCTTCAGAACCAGTTCTAGGGACGCTGGCTTGTGCTGACTAGCAGTTTATGAGCCCTGATATTTATCCTCAGCTAGGATGTCACCAGCGTGAAAAGTCATCCTGCTTGTACTTTATTAAGGTCATTGGGAGCTTCCAAGGCCCTCCCCCCCTCGTGATCCGGAAGTCCCTGCAGGGGTCCTTCCTGCGCTTTTCCCCCACGAATTTGTCCCTTCCAGGGTCAGGGCAAAGGCGGGGAAGGCTTGAGCTAAGTTATTACCACTGTTAGGAGAGTGGATATTTTAGGCTTCTTTCTTGGTCTCAAGGTGACTTAGCCAATGGGAATCCTCCAGGCATATTTTGGTAGCTTGTTGCTTTTAAGACTGGGGAATTCTGAACATTCCTCCTCTAACTTAATGCTTTCTGACAGGGCCTTTGCAAAGACCTTGTTTCTTATGTAAGGCAAACAGCCATCTGTTAGTTGAGTAAAGAAAGAACATTTGCATTTTTTGTGTGTCAGTGTCTTCGGGTAACTTTTGCTTTAATTACAAAACTGCTAGGGTTTGGACTTTAGCAAGGATCAGACAGGCTTTTGAAGTGTGGTATGTGATGATGTTCTCTTTTTTTTTTTTTTTGGTCCTGTTGGAATTAAATAAAATTTCTGCTGACATCAGAAGCAGTCAGCTGCCCAAAGATGCAGGGAGCTTTTCACCAGTGCTGGCAGTGGGCAGAATCATCATCATCATACTCTGTATTAATAATAGCTCCTTGGAAGTTTTAAACCACATCTGCAGACCCAGAAGTGATTGTGCAAACTCCAGGCAAAGTAACTTCTGCATTCAAGGAAGATAGTCTATCTGTCAGGCAGCCTAGGATGTGGTGGGACAGGAAGCAGCTGCTAGCCTGTAAACCAGCAGCAGCTGATTGGGAATCCTGTGTGGGAAGCCAAGGTCCTGGCTGGCTGCAATACCACTCCCCTCATCCTGTGCTGAATTTTAATCCTTGGCACACGTTCACTTGGGGAGTAGCAGCTTTGGTTGTGCAGCCCCTGAGCTCCTTCTCCTGGTCAGAGTGGCCCTGTCTTCCTGTAAGACAGAAGTGTCTGCTTCCTGGCTGCTGGGGCTGGGACTTTGGCAGGGTGCAGCCCGTGGGTGATAGGGTGTGAGCCTAGCTACATTTACCCAGGGTGTTGGCACAGAGCTCAGGAGGAGAGCAGGTGGGGAGGCGACAGACTCAGGAACTGTCACACCTAGCCAGCTTCCAGAACAGTCACTTTTTTTCTGTCACGCCATATCATGGTGGATTGCAAAAAATACATGTAATGTTCAGAGTCTGTGGGTGACACTTGGAACTGGGAATATTCTTAGAAATTTATCCTCTTCCGTTTAGCATTCTGGAAACTAAGAACCCAGAATCACCTTCGAATTCGCAGGAAAGGAGCCAGACTTGGGCCTCATTCCCAGGACTATGCTGTATTTAAAAGTTTTTGAATATCAGACATTGGGATTATTTTAGGCCAGCTAAGGAGAGAATGTAAGATTGTCACCACTATCATCTTTTTATTTTTTAATGAGACAGGATCTTGCTATGTAGTCCAGGCTATTCTGAACTTGCTAGTACCCCTGGCTGGACTCGAATTTGTAATCCTCCTGCCTCAGCCTCCTGAGTACTAGTGTTACAGGAGTGTGCCATCATAACCAACTTCTCCCCAAGCCCCAGTATTGGGGATTGAACCCAGGGAGTGTTGAACTACAAATCTAGCCCTTTTTAAAATTTTGAGACAGGGTCTTGCTAAGTTGCCCAGGCTGGGCTTGAACTTGTGATCCTTCTGCCTCAGCATCCCAGAGTCCTTAGATTACAGGTATGGGTCACCATGCCTAGTTTATTTTCACTGTTCTTGCAATGACAGTAATAGTAGTGGTGAATGTTACAAATTAGAATAAGCAAAACATCTTCCCCCAGGATGTGGGGTTAGAATCATTTAGATTTTATTGTGTGCTTTCTTTTTTATTTTTTTTCCTTTGGTGCTGAGGATTGAGCCCAGGTCTTATGCATACTGAGCCTGTGTTCCACTTCGGGAGCTACACTCCTAGCCCATATATGTGCTTTTGTGTATGTGTGACAGGGTTTTGGTGTGTAATTCAGGTTGACCTCAAATTTGTGTTGATCCTCCTGCCTCAGCCTCCTGAGGGCTGGGATTATAGGCATGTGCCATCACTCCTGATTAAAATTCTTTTCTGAAGCATGCCAGTCCTGGAAGGTGCTCAGAATCTGTCATCAGATAGGATTGAGCATACCTTTTCATTTTTGTTGAAGATCAACAAGGCTTGTTAGTTTGGTCAGGGGTCTGAGAAGTCTTTCAATAAAGATAACTGTTCAGCTTTATCTGCTCAGCATTTCTCAGAGTTATTCAGCCACGAAACCCTGTTTTTGTTCACTCTTGGCCAAGCCAGGGAAACTCCCAGTGCATCTATACCTAGACTTCCTCATCTGAAGTCTTTCTCAGGCCCTTGCTTCTGTTCCTGCCCCACAGTGTGGGCATGGGCTTTTTGACCATTCCTCATGTTCACCTGCAGTTGGGATTAAGAACTTCCCACCAAGCAGGAGCTGTGAGTGGAAAGTTAAGTCCCGAGCGTTTGACTGAGGCTTACCAAACTTCCAGCAGGAAGCAGGAAACTGCAAGCCAAGAAGCCGTTTCCCAACCTTCAGGGGCACACCCCAGTTCCCCTGTCAGTTACGGCACCCCTGCTCTGCGCTCTGGGTGCTCGGGCCCTGGTTCTGCGTGATTTTAGGGTATTTGCCTCCAAAAGTTTCACTAAGTTAAGTGATAAAAAGGTGGAGAGCCACAGGGAGGTGTCATATGATCTCCTTCATTTTTTCAGCAGGCCACTAAAAGTCAGACTACCCCGGGCTGCCTTCCTGAGGCACCTCTGCCAGGTTTCCCCAGACTGGGCACCGATTTCGAGGGGGCTGGCAGAGGTGTTGGTGCTGAACAGAGTGGGGCTCACAGTCGCAGACCTGCCGAGTCACACAATCTCACTTTCACGCGTTGAGAGATAATCTCAGTACTGTGGCTCCTTCCCAAGGACTGGAACATTTCTCTCCTGTGGGAGGAGAAGGTGGTGGTGGAAGCTGACTGGGGTGTGAACAAAGTTAGGTAACTATGTTCCTCGCACAGACACTGAAGGCTTTGTCGCTTCCCAGAGCTGGACTGCTGCAGCATGACTGTCACTTCAGGAATTCTCAGAACCACCAGTGGACCTGGGAGAACCTCCCTGTGCCACAGAGCATTGTCTTAAGAAATTTACAAATGTCAAGGCTCTTAGAGCGTAACAGTTTCTCCACACAGCTGCCCAGGCAGAGCTGTTCCTGTGTGTGGTTGGCATGGCAGGCCAGGCTGGGTGTTAAAACTTGGCTAGAGGGCGGGGGATATAGCTCAGTGGCACAAGCACCTGCCTGACAAGAACAAGGTCCTGAGTTTAATTCCTGGTACAAAAAAAGAACTTGGCCAGAGACTCAGGTGAACTTGAACTCTACACATTCATTAAGTTTTGTTAGTACTTAATATTTAACCAGGGTAGACAGTAATGCTTAACCAGGACAGACAAGGATACTCATCCCTCATTTAGAGAAGAGCATCACAAACATTTGCAAGTGGCCTCTGGAAGATGTTCACAAGTTAATCCACATTGGTGAGGCGCTGACATCCTGTGGGCCAGGGCAGGAGAGCTGGGTAAACAGGCACGTGGTCAGTGCTGACCAGAGCTGTTAAGGTAGCAGGAGAGCTAAGAATGTTCCTCAGAAGCTGGGCATGGTGGCACATGCTTCAGATCCCTGTACTCTGGGAGGCTGAACCAGGAGGCTCGCATGTTTGAGCCCAGCCTGGGTAACTTTGCGGAGAGCCTGTCTCAAAAGAAAAAATCAAAAAAGCTGGGGATGTAGCTCAGCATCAAGGCCTGGGTTCAGTACCCCCCACTCATACACATACAGCTCCTGGCCATGGGAACAGTGCAGTGAACTCTGAAGCATCTCAGGAGGAAGCAGGCAAGGGCAGAGTCCTGTGCCCAATGAGGAGCCAGGGTATTTGGGTGAATCCTGTGCTCTGTCCCCCATGTGCCTGGAAGCATCCGCTGCGGGTCACACATGCTTGTTTGGCCAGCCTCTCCTGAAGCCCCACCTTCATGACCTTCACTCATGTCAGCCTAC